GCAGGAGGGAGGGGCCGCAGTGGGAGGGTCTGGTGAGCTCGCCAGGACTTCCTAACCTGCCCTGGGGGTGTTTGTGTGGGGTGCGGGGTGGGGATGAAGGGGGGAGGAGTGGGGGTGGATGGGCAGGCCAGGTGCCATGACAGACACACAGGAGCCTCTTGCAGGGGGCAGTTCCCGTCCTCAGAGGATGTGGCCGGAACCATGGCGGAAAGCCACATGCTGCCGCCTCCTGGGGCCTTCTGGCCCTTTCCCACTCGCCTTTCCAGAACTAAAGAACTCCGAGCGGGAGGCCGCGCGGCCTGAGGATCGCTTTCCCACCTGCCCACCGAAGGGGCGGCCGGGAGGGCCGGCGCGCTGCGCTGAGGCTGGGGGCCCTTCCCCCCTCTGTTCCGCCTTCCCCTGGCCCCGGCTCGCCCCCCACGGCCCGCCCACCGGGACCAACACAGGAGCATCTGCTTGGACAAACGTCCGAGAGCCATGAGTGTGAGATTCCAGCATCTCCCCCGCCGCCCCCGTGGTCCCACCAGGGCTGGCCGCTGGGGGATGTCGGGGGGCGGGGGGTGTTGCCAAGGGAACATGGTGACGGCCTGAGGAGGTTCACAACCATGGGCTTTGCCTGTAAGATGCCACGTGTCTGAAAACGTGGGGAGCTTTTCTAAAATCACTTTAAAAACCAGCCTTCGTACGACGGCTGTGGCCCGCGGCCGGTTGAGCGGAGAGCGTGGCAGGGCCTGGGCGGTTCGGCTGGGCCTTCCCAGGAGGCGGGGGAGAGAGGGGTGTCACGGCCGGGCCGGCCGGGCCCAGTAGACAGGGACGGTGCTCTCTGAGCTCACCCCAGTGCTTTCTGCGAGAACCTGCCTGGCCCCCGTCTCTCCCCAAACACTGCAATTCTGAGACCAGCCGGGGGCGAAGGGGGACCCACAGCCCCACCCAGAGTGCGGTGGGTGGGTGGGTGGGTGGGTGGGTGGGCGCCCTGGGCTGGGAAAGTGCTCAGAGCAGGTGCCTTCGCTGGTTTCAGGAACCTGCTGCCACAGGCTGCCGACACCGGGCCTGGGACCCACAGGCAGCTGGGTGGGGAGGGGGCTGCTTAGCTGCGAGGGATTGGGCGGGGGTGAGGGGGGACTGGCTAGGGGGTGCTCTCATCTCATCTGGGCCGGCGATTCTTTGGAATCGGGCAGGCCCTTTCCCCAGGAGCAGAGAACTCGGACGCGGGAGTCCGTGCAGCCTGTGCCCTTGGGCGAGGGTACAGTGAGGGGTGCCCCTCTGAGGAGGGGGACCTTCCAGTTCTGCCTCGATTTGTGTAAATGCGGAGGAAGGGCTGGGCCCATGAGGTGCAGGGTCTCTGAGGGGGTGGGGGTGGAGGCGGGGGTGAGGGTGGGAGGCGACTCCAGGGCCCTGCGGGTAAGAGGCCAGACTGTGGGCCGGCGCTGCCTCTCTCCGGAGCAGACAGGGTCTCTGTCCTCCGAGACCAGGGCCGGTGACCGCGCAGGCACAGCCGGTCGCCGGGTCAGGAGACGGCAGGAGGATGCTTTTCCCACCGGGCAGTGGGATGAGATGACAGGATCTGGGCTCGGGGTAGGGGTCCAGGGGCCGGTCCTCACCCCTCTGTACAAAGACTCGGCTGGACCAGGTGCTCTCGGAGCCTCCCACCAGCTCCGGGCCCAGGGCCCAGGGCCCACGGCCACGGGCCCGGGTCTCCCTCCCGCCTGAGCCGCGGAGCCGGCCGGGAGCGGTCCGCGCCGACGCGGGCGGTCAGTAGGGCCTCCACACGGCCTCGTCCATGCGGCCCGGCGTGCTCAGGGCGGTGGGCGAGTTGCTGTGGCTGCCGTCGGCCTCCACGCCGTCGCTCTGGCCGCCCAGGCTGGGGTTCATGAGGTTGCCGGTGGCCACGGAGCCGGCGCTGCTGGTGCAGGAGGCCAGCATGCGGGTGGGCGAGCGGTCGCCGCCGCCGCCGGCCACCATGGAGAACTGGTAGGAGCCGGAGGACGCGCCGTAGTACAGGTGGTACGGGGACGGGTTGGCCTGGAAGGGCCCGCTCTGGTTCTGGGTGGCCCCCGGGTACGGCGGCGGGAGGTAGGTGGGGTGGAAGCGGCTGGCGGCCGGCATGCTGGCCACGCTGAGGCTGCTGATGCTCGCGCCCGAGGGCGTGGCGCTGTAGGGGAAGGCCGCCGACATGGTCCCCGGGTAGTGCATCCTGGGGTCCGGGAAGCGGCTGTCCGTGAGGGTCTGGAGCGCCGGGAAGGAGCGGTCGAACTGGCGGGGGTCGGAGAAAGGGTTCAGGTCCGAGGTGCCTGCGGGACAGCAAAGGGGGTGGTCAGTCGCAGCTGGACACCGGCACCCCCCCCCTCCCCCCAGCAGACGTCTTTTTTAATAGGCATTTTTAATTGGTTTCAGGGAGGAAGGGAGAGGGAGAGAGAGAGAGAGAGAGAAACATCAGTGATGAGAGAGAATCATCGATCAGCTGCTTCCTGCACATCCCACACTGGGGACTGAGCCTGCAACCTGACGGGGAATCGAACTGTGACCTCCTGGTTAATAGGTCTGAGCTACGCAGGTGGGCCCCAGCGGAATTCTTTAAGAATGTCCTTGGTTAAGGGGGTCAAATACAGGGTGGTGAGCACACAACAGAGTATACAGGTGTATTATAAAGTTGCATCCCTGAAATGTATCAATCTTATTAACTAATTAGAGGCACGGGGGCAGGGGTCTGTCCTCAGCACAGCCTGTACCCTCTCCAATCAGGGACTCCCTGGGGATCAGGCCTAAACCAGCAGTCAGACCTCCCTCTCACCATCCTGGACAGCAGGCATCTAAATGCTCACCTGCCTGCCTGCCTGATTGCCTCTAATTGCCCTTCCCCCAGTGCCGGCCTGATCACCCTTCACTGCCTCTGAGTGCTGGCCTGATTGCCCCTAACTGCCCTTGCTGCCAGCCTGGTCACCCCTAATTGCCACCCCCCCCTATTGCTGGCAAGGTTGCCCCAAAAGCCCCCTCCCTGTTGGCCTGGTCACTCCTTACTGCCCCCCGCCCCGGCCCGCCACCCTCATTGCCCCTAACTGCCCCTGCTCCCCCGCCAGCCTGGCTGCCCCCAACTGCCCCTGCTGGCCTAGTCACCCCGCACAGGCCCCCCACCGGCCTGGTCGCCCATGCAGCCTACTTGTTCAGTTGTTTGGTCGTCCCTCACTAACCCCCATGCCAGCCTGGTTGTAGGCAGCCATCTTGTGAGTGTGAGCGCCAATTTGCATATTACCTCTTTATCATATAGCTTGTTACCCCAATACATTTTTAATTTAAAAAGAAGCTCTGGCTCTGCTCTTACTGCCTTGGCTGCTCGGGGCGGGAGCCCTCCTGACCGGATAACGGTCCTGCCGGGAGGCAGGTGGGCAGGACCGGGCCGAAGGCGGCCACAGGCGCCTCCAGGGCTGACGGAGAAGGGGCGGCTCTGCTCTGCCTCTGGAATCCTCTCACAGCCTGGCCGTGCAGGGGCCTGTCAGGGGGTGGAGAGGGTCTGCAATGGCCCTGTGGGAGAGGGATTTGGAGCCTGCTTTTACAGGAAGGGAAACTGAGGCACAGAGGAAGATTCATTTTCTCGATGCTGCAGAAAGGACTCAAACTCCTCACGGGGCCTCTGCTCTCTGCTTTGCTGGGCTGCTGGGCATGCCCGCACCCCCCCCCTGCCCGGCGGGGCTGGGTGAGGTTATGTGAGCTTCTCCCTGTGTGTGTGTGTGTGTGTGTGTGTGTGTGAGAGTGTGTGGTGGGGGTTAGGCCCAGAGAAGATCTGTGTGCCCCCTGCCCCACACACCTCAGCCTGGGCCTGTATCTCCGGGGCTGCCTGCATCTGCCTTGGTAGCAAAGTGAGATGCAGCCAGAGGGGCTTGGTGGCCCTTGCCAAAGAGACACCAGCGTCCAGACCAGGTCCTGCCCCTGCTCCTCCAGTTTGGCTCCTCACTGGACTCCAAGGCAAGCGCATCTGGGCCTCTGCCCCCTATGTTTGCACTCCCAGAACCCCCAAAACCTCAGCATTCACAGGGGCCCTGGGATTGAGTCTAACGCCCTCGGTAGGAAATCTGAGGCCCAGAGAAGGTGAGGCATTTGCCTAAGGGTCACACAGAGCACCGGGCCCGGCACCAAGTCCTGGGGCTCCAGTCCTGACCCCCACTATGGGTCTGAGCGGCAGCCGTCCCTTCCAGGAGGCAGCACAGCGCAAAGGTTAATTGTGTGGTCTCTGCAGCTGGGCATCTAATCGGCTTCTGACGCTTGCTTGCTGTGTGTCCTTGGGCAAGTCACTTAACCTTTCTGTTTCAATCTTCCCACATGAGAAGTGAAGACAGTACCCGATCCCAGGAATTAGATCAGTTACTGCGGGCGGAGTGCTCAGAGTGGGCACAGGGGGCGGCCTGCCGAGGGCTGGCGCCGCCGTCATGGCTGTGACACTCCTGTTCGGGGCTCCCGGCACACCTGGCCCCTCAGGGCCTGCAGAGGTGACCCCTGACCCTGCGCCTCCCTTACCTCCTGGCCCCGGGGGGACTCCGGCAGCAGAGGGGTGGGTGAGCCCCCACAGTGTCCCGAGGAAAAGTCTGTCTGGCCCCAACCCCTCGATGCCACCCCGCCAAAGAGGATTCAGGGGGACCGGCCTCTGCCCCTGGGCAGCTCCGGGCTGGCACTGCCCACTGGACGGGGGCCGGGCTGAGGACAGACCGCTGCAGGCGCCCCCAGGTCTCCTGCTGCCCACGTCTGCCTGAGGCGCTGGGACCTCGGGTGAGGCCTGTAGGTTCTCTGGGCTCCGGGGTCTTCCCGGCTCAGCTGGCCAGCGCCTCCTCAGCTCTGGGCTCGCTCTGTCCTCTGTGGGTCCGGATGGAATGGTGCTCCCTGCTCAAGATGGGGATTCTGGGGGAGGGGGGGGGGTTTAAGGGTCCCCTCCCCATTGGGTTCCCTGGCTGGTTAGTGCTACCCTGAAGCCTAAGGGGCCAGAGGTGCCAGCTCCCCACCCACCCTCAGGACCCCCGAGGTCTCGGTGGCATTGCCTGGCACCCAAACATGGCCAAGCACAAGGCTGGCCCTTCAGCTCTGAGCCCAGGAAGTGAGTGCTGTCCATGGACAGGAACCCCCCACGCTCCAAGTGAAAGACCCCAAACAGGGACCCCGGGAGGAGACCGCAGGGCTGCAGGCCTGGCGGGGGGTGGTGGGGGGGGGCTGGGCTGGTGTGCGTGACCCTCGGCGTTCACAGGGGCGCCAGGTTCTGAGCAGGACCTGCCCAGACGCCTTGGTCCCCTCCTGCACCCCCCGCCCCAGGCTGGTGGGGAAGTGTCTGCCCTCAGGACCCCTGAGGCTCCTGCCCCCAGCCCCACCCCGCCCAGTAGCCCCCGGAAACCGGAGCTGGCTGGCTGTCGAGCGGCCAACCCCAACACTGGGAGGAAATGTTTATTTTCTTCTCCAAATTGCCCCAGCTGCTGCGTGGCGGCTGAATGAGCCCTTTGAGCTGTGAGAAGCCCCCATTGTGGGCGGCCACGGCTGGGGGGGCCTGGGGCCGGGGTACCGAGGGGATGGCGCCTCGGCTCTGCTTGCCAGTGACCAAAGCCGGGGGTCAGAGCTGTTAACGGGCACCATGAGGAGCGGTGGCGGGGTGCCCTGAGGGGATCCCCAGGATGGATCTGAAGGCAGAGGCTGGCCCCCACAGAAGGGGAGGGCCGGTGAGAGGGCCCCAAACCCAGCCCTGCCAACACCCCGCTGAGGCAGGCACCTCCTGCCTCCCATTTCGCAGGCGGGAAAACTGAGCTCAGAGAGGTGAAGTGACTGGCCCAGGAACACACAGCCCGTGCCCGGCAGGGGCAGAGTTCCGAGCCCGGCCCATCTGATGGCAAAGTTCATACTTCTTTCCTGTCCTGGTTGTCAAGGGCCCTTCCGCTCACGCCAGAGGGGCCAGGCCTGGGAGAGGGCGGCCTGAGCCCAGTGCTGGGGGGTCAGCGAGGGGCTGGGGAGCCCTCTGGGGTGCAGCAGCAGGGGAAGGACCGGGTCAGCTGCGCCCACACAGGCCCCACCTCCCCTCCCAGCCTCAGAGTGGAGGCTGGACAGAGGGTGGGGAGCCTGAGGCACCGATTCCCCAGCCACGTCCACACCACGGCGGGAGGGCGAGGCGGGCTCTCCTTCCCCGGGAGCTGCTGGCCAGGAAGGCTGTATCCACCCCGCCTGCTGGATTCGGGGCTCCCTGGCTGGGCCCCAACACCCCCCGGGGCCCAGCTCTGCTCCGGCAGGGGAGGGCCTGGAGTGTTAGGCTCCTGCACCCCGACAGACGCTGCCCGAGGGAGAGGGAGCTCAGACGGCTTCCGGGCAGGGGTGGGCATGGGTCCGAGCGCCGAGCACCCCCCGCCCCCCACGCTGCCTCCTGAGGTCAGGCCTCCGCCCTGCAGCGCCTCACCCCGCCCTTCCTTCCCCGGCCCCAGACCTGCCGAGTGGCTCACATCTGCTAGCCCAGAGGCTGGGGGCAGCTGGACCCGGGGCCCCTCCCTCTTCCCCAAGGCCCAGCTTCTCAGGCCAGACAGAGGGCCTTCTCTCTATGCTACGGGATATACCAAGCTCGCCACCACCACCGATCTGCCAGATGAAGGACCGAGAAAGAACGACACCCTCAGTGCCCGGCGACAGCCAGCCCTCCTGCCTCTGCTCGGTGCTGCCGAGGCCTGCGGCTGTGCACCAGCCTCTGTGCCCGGGCCGCTGGCTGGCAGAGCCCGGAGAAGCGTGCCTCTCCGTCCTCCAGGCGCTTACGGAGCACTTCCTGTGTGCCAGGCCCGTCTCCCCGGAAGGCCTGCCTGAGATCCACTCTGGCTGTGCCTGCTGTGCCCACCAGGCGATGGGGAGAGACGCCCCTTTGGGGGCCTCGGCCCAGAGGCCTCTCTCCTCCTTCCTGTTGGGCAGGGACCCTGGGCCACGGGACCTTCCCGAGGGGATGCTGAGTGTCTCTCCGGGGCTGCAACGCCCTTTACCGCCTACGAACTCTAAGCACTTGAACGTGACCCCAGCCTGGGCAGAGGCACCCCACTCTCAGTGAGGAAGCCGAAGCTAGGAGGGAGGTGTCTTCAGCAGGGACACGTCTGCCACAGGTTCCGCGGACAAGTCACACCCCGATTTCAATGGGAGCACTGGGAGATTAACGCCATCTCCCCAGGGAGACTGAGCATGGCACGTGGTGGGTGTCAGGAAATGCTGGCTGTGCCAGTGAAGGAAGGGCCACGGCCAGAGCATCACATGGGCAGAGAACGGCCTCCGAAGGGCTTGGCCCGGAGCCCAGGACCATGCCCAGGTCCTGGTCCGCCCCCCCCCCCCCCCCGCCCCCGCCGTGCGTACCTTGGATGGGGGTCTGGGCCTGGCTGTTGAAGTGGCTGGCGGTGCTGAGCGAGCCGCGGGGGCTGGGCATGCTGGGCGTCACCCGCATGCGCACCCGCTCCAGGTCCCCGAAGCGGTCGGGGAAGGCCTTGGCCTGGTCCTCCAGCTTCTGCCGGTGCCCTGCGGAGCGAGGGAGCCATCAGAGCCGGTTCCCGAGGGGCCCGGGAGACAGAAATGCCTCCGCCGCTGCCGGGATGGTCACCCCGAGCCGAAGCTCGGGCTTCTGCAGAGACCCTCAGTCACTAGCCACCTCCCTCTCAGGTTCTCACAGACTCTGACAGAAACGGCCTGGGGGCCACACTGACTCACCGCTGCCCTCCTGAGCCGGGCTGCCCTCTCTCATACCTCACCCTCCACAGCACACTGCTCAGCAGAAGGGGAAACTGAGGCCTCGGGCGTGGGCAGGTGACTCCAGCAGGTGCCCATGGGGGATCGGGGAGAGAACCTGGGGTGCTGCCATCTTCTGCCTCCCAGCGTCCCAGGCCCACCCCACCCCTGGGAGGAGGCCCTGAGATGAGACTGTCACTCCACCCCGCCCCGGGTCACTCGGACCCACCGGCCTCCTGTCAGGGCCTCAGACAGAAGGAAATGGTCGCCAGGACACAGAGCAAAGGCTGTGGTGCTTCGCCGAGGGCTGGCCTCCCCTCTGACTGGAAGGTGGGGACCGGGCCAGTGCACCTGGAGGAGCTGCCGGCATTTCTCGGCATTCCTGCCGTGGCCACCACCCGCCATGGCCACCCCCCCGCCGTGGCCACCTCCCCGCCGTGGCCATCACCCACCGTGGCCACCACCCGCCGTGGCCACATTCTCCGTGGCCACCCCCGCCGTGGCCGCCTCCTGCCGTGGCCACCACCCGCTGTGGCCACCCCCCCACCGTGGCCACCCCCCGCCGTGGCCACCCCCCCGCCGTGGCCACCACCCACCGTGGCCATCACCTGCCGTGGCCACCACCCACCGTGGCCATCACCTGCCGTGGCCACCCCCCCGCCGTGGCCACCCCCCCGCCGTGGCCACCCCCCCGCCATGGCCACCACCCGCCGTGGCCACCCCCCGCCGTGGCCACCCCCCCGCCATGGCCACCCCCCGCCGTGGCCACCCCCCCACCGTGGCCACCCCCCGCCGTGGCCACCACCCACCGTGGCCATCACCTGCCGTGGCCCCCTCCTGCCTGGGTGTCTATATACTCCCCCCACACCCCACCACACACACACACACACACACACACACACACACACACACTCGTCAGAGCACCGGTTAGCTGTACTCGATGGTAACTACCCCCTTACGAGGCACATCCCCTCTGGTCTGCCCCAGTCCCCACCCACCCCATGTGCCTCCGTTTCTTGACTTGCCTGCCCCCATAGGCAGCCCCCATAGGTCCTAGTGCCCGCTGAGCTCACCCGAACCCACGTGGCCCCCTCCTCCACACTCCCTTCCCCCCTCCTCCTTCCGTGGCCACCTTCCGTGGCCCGGCCAGTACAGGAGGGCCCAGCCCCTGCCCCAGGCCCGGAGAGCGGCAGAGGTGACCACGCCCTGCTCCATGCAGCCAGCAGAGCCTCCCTCAGGGTCCTCGGAAGACGTGGAGCTCGAGGGATACACGACCACACACACACGCGCACACACACACGCACGCACACACACACATGTGCACACACACGTGCGCACATGTACACACATGCACACGCACACACCCCTCTTCAATGACTCGCTTTCCATTTCACAAGCAGCCCGCGAACATCTACAGAAATAACGCACAGCAGACAGGGCTGCGGCTCCCGGAGCCGCCCGGAGCCCCGGCCCAGAAGCCCCCGTTCCGCACGCACGGACGTTCCCGAAGGGGCTCAGCCTGGCAGTGTCCATCCGCCACCTGCCTTCCTGGAGCGCCCCCCGAGCCGCCTCCGTCCTCCCACCACCACAGGGAGGACAAGCCCGCCCAAGGAGACAGCAGACCCCCACGAGGAGCTGGGAGGCCTGCCCGCTGCCGGGGGCCCCTTGCTCCGCCCTCACACCCACCGGCACCACGTTCACTCAGCCCCTCTGCTCAGCTGGCCCCCCGTTTCCCGCATTGTCCCCTCACACCCCCCTGTTCACTCCGAGCTCTGGGCGCCTGTCAGGCAGAGGGCTGAGCATCCTGAACTCGCTGCTCACCCGAAGGAGGCTGCCCACCTGCTCCAGCTGCCCCACGGCGGGGCCCGCGCAGGCTGGTGCCCTCCCCCTTTCACAGGCAAGAGAAACGGCGGCTCAGAGGTCCCAGAGCGAGGACGGGGGAAGGAGGCCCCGGACCGAGACCCCTTGGGAAAGAATGCGGGAGGATCCCAGGGAGAGGGCAAGGCCTGCCTGAGGCCTTAGGTCGGCCGTGATGCGCGGAACTCTCTAGACGGACAGGCAGGGAAGAAGAGAGAAGCAGGTGGGAGTTAAAACAGAATCCTCACCGTCCTTCCCGAGGCCTGGAAAACGGCATCTTCGGGGGAAAGGGTCACCGCCACTGGGGATGCGGGGGAGAGTCAGAGGCCCAGCCACGGGCCGCACTTCTGGCTTCCAAAACGGGGATGCGATGGGTCCCCGGAGCCCAGGCCCCACGCTCTCTACACACCCGCCGCACGCTCACAGGGGCCTCCGAGCCCTCAGACACGGAGCAGGAGTCTGCGAGCCACGCCGGGCTCAGCGAGACGCCGAGAGCCAGGGGCCCACTTCCTCCTCCTCCGAGGCCCCAGGCCCGGAGCCCGGGGACACGCGGCAGCTGGAATGAAGCCACGAGGCCTCCTTGGTAACAACGGGGACAGTATGGGTCCGGGTGAGCTCAGCGGCACTTAGGGCCTATGGGGGCTGCCTATGGGGGCAGGCAAGTCAAGAAACGGAGGCACATGGGGTGGGTGGGGACTGGGGCAGACCAGAGGGGATGTGCCTCGTAAGGGGGTAGTTACCATCGAGTACAGCGGACTGGTTCTCTGACGAGGGTGTGTGTGTGTGTGGGGGGGGGGGGGGGGGGGGAGGAATATGAGCTCAGTGTTGCCAGAGCTTCCAAAACCATAAACCTGTTTTTATATGAAATCTCCCATATTTTATATGTTGGCAATTAGTTCAAATACTGAAAAGGAAAAAAAAAAAGCGCCAAACTCATCACTTTGTAGGAGGGGTCCTGCCCGGGGCTCCCGGTGTGCGTGCTCCAAGTTCAGCGCTTCCTTATCTGGCCAGTTGGCTGGGCCTCAGCCGGGGGGAGGCCCCCGAAGACTGCAGCCGCGGAGCGGACACGGGGGGGACGAGGGGACTCAGAGCCTCTCAAGGCGGGAGGCGGTGGGGCCCTGGAGGCCGCAGGCCGGCCGGACGGCAGTGGGCGCTAAGGGCCCGGTGTCTCCGCTCGGCCTGAGCCCACGGGGCTGCACAGAAGCTGGTGCAAAACCTCAGGCCCCGTTACGGTCCTCACGGCGCATCAAGGCCGGCTTCTGAGACACGCTGCGGACGGGGGTGTTTGCAGTCACTCTGTGGCCAGCAGGAGGAGGGCGGGGAGCAACAGGGGTTCGAGGCTGGGCCCTGCTGCTTGCAGCCTGGCGAAAGCCACACTCCCTTCCCGCCACCCCAAGCCGCAGGGTCCCCGTCATGGCACCCTCAGAGGCCGTGGTGGCGCTGGCCGGACACGTTCTGGGAGCGCACTACACCCACTCGGGTCCCCACCCCGCTCACTCCAGGGAGGCGGGGCGATCACCCGCACGCCAGCCCGGGACCCCCAGGCCCAGGTCAGCCGTGTCTCCCTGTGTCTGGGACACAAAGCCGGGACAGCAGAGCCGGCACTGCCACCCACAACCCAAGAACTCCAGGTGCTCCTTCTCTCGACACGTTCCTTGTTGCTCCCAATGTACAGACGGGGCCACTGAGACCTCAAGGCGAGACGTACACTCAGGGCGTGGTCTGGGATACAACCGGGCACTCTGCCCCCCCCCAAGCACATGTTCCCACCCACCGCGCGGGTCCTGCCGTCACACCAGGCAGACTTCCTGGAGGAGGGGGCGTCAGCAGCGCGCTGGGAATGGCTTCCTTGTTGCTGTGGAGGCTGCAGGGAGGGGCCTCGGGGAGCCGAGGCGGCTCCACTCGGCCAGGGTGCCAGAGAGTCTCAGCGCCAGGGGCTGCCTCCATGTCGGAGCAGAAGGAACTTCCTGTGCCCCAGGGAAGGCGATGCGGCCGCAGAACAGAGCTCTTTCATGTGGCTGCCGCGCGGGATCTCTCGCAGTGCCTCCGTTTCCCCTGCCCGGCTGCTCATGGAGCCCCTCTGGCTTCAGGCTGCAGGCACCAGCCGCTGGCCAGACGGGGCCCCAGCATGGAGAAGGCAGGGCTGCCTGCTCCCGGGCCCACCCACCACCACCACCACCTCCTGCTGCTGCCGGGGCCAGGGTTTCTTCTCTGCCTCCACACTCAGAGCCACGGCTCAGGCCCCGCCCGGCCAGGAATGCTCTCCTGTCCGTGGGGCTCAGCCCAGGAGCTCCTCCTCAGAAGCCCCCTCCTCCCGGCACAGCCCCTCTGCCGGCCAGGCCGGAAGCAGCAGCCGGCAGCGCAGGCCAGAGCAGCCGTGCTTCCTGGGTGCTTCCTGACTCCCCTGGCTGAGCAGGTGATGCTGCACCGCGCCCCCCCCCCCCCCCCCCGGGAGGCCCCTGTCCTCGTGAAGGGGAGACACAGCCTGGAGGGGGTCAGGGACACGGTCAGGTCCCAGGAAGCACTGCCCCTTCCTTCCCGGGGCCCTTCCTGCAGGAGAGGGGCCTGGGCTGTGACACCAGGGGCCGCAGGCGCAGTGTTAGCGCCCAGCCCGGGCTCAGCTCAGCCGGAGGGTTCTCGGCAGGCCCGGGAGGGTGGGCGTGGGGGAAGGTGAGAGCCTCAGGGCCTCTCTCGGAGCCCTGCCTGCTCTGGAGCTCAGCGCGGAAAGGCCGACTCCCATCGCGCCCCGCTCTATCCCGCCTAGTCCCTCTCCTCCTCTGGGACTCAGTTTCCATACCTGTAAAATGGCCATCATATGGTCAACTCCTGAGAGTGAGGAGGAGCTGAGGACAGAGCCCAGGACTGAGAAGCAGAGCACTGGGGGCGGGGAGGGGAGCAGGGAGCACCTCGGCGCACAGGACCTGGCTCGCCACTGG